TGTCCCCTAGCGGCTCAGCGGTAAGCTTAAGCGCTTGTACACTAAAAACCAGGTTTCGATACCAGTGGTGGGCAAAGCACAGACAGCCCTTGTGTAGCTTTGTGAATAATTAAAAACAAACAATTAAATGCCGAACCCGGAAGAAGTTGTATACATATATATATATATATATATATATACGTATACAACTTCTTCCGGGTTCGGCATTTAATTGTTTGTTTTTAATTATTCACAAAGCTACACAAGGGCTGTCTGTGCTTTGCCCACCACGGGTATCGAAACCCGGTTTCTAGCGTTGTAAGTCCGCAGACATACCGCTGTGCCACTGGGGGACTCGGCATTTAATGTCAGGAGTAGCAGATGAATAAGACTGTATGAATGTTTCCTATATTTTTGTCATCTTACGCCTTCTAATGAAGATGGGAACACTGACAGTGAAATAACATAATAGCCAATGCTCAGCGAGAGGTTTTCGTTTATAAAATTTTGTTTTTGTTCATGACTTGATTTTTATTTTATTATCTCGTCTCCATAGTCACTATTTGCAAATAGTCAATAATATTGAGGTCCATTTTATTGTTGTTCTTTCTATGCGCCGTTATAACACATTTTCATCTCATAATTTAATTTCTGTTGTGCATATATTGTTGTATAGAAGATATTTTAAAGTGATTCATTAGGTGGAAAACGAATAGATAGATAGATAAACCGATATGTGGCGCCATCTAGTGTACATAAATTCATCTAGAAATGTTCATAAAAGTGACCCGAAAAACCCGTGGCCCGATTTTAACGAAACTTGTTTTATTCTCTTTCTATTCCCATTTCGTTACACATATGGCGGTATTGTGCGCCGTTTTTGTTGTATTTAATTACAGACAAGCACACAAACAAACAATCTCAGAGTTTTAGTAGTATATTGATAGATAGGCCGTACTTAATAAAGGCATAACTAACGTTAGGCCTAAAACAAGTGGACTTAAGATATTTTGTCCCTGCCAATAGAATTATTTCGTATTATTCTAGAAATCCTGTGTTTATAGAAGTAATGTTATAATAAAGGTAAAAATAGAGGAAGTTTCGAAGTCTGTAAATTAGATTTTGTAATCACAATTAAGGTCATTCACAGTGTGACTAAAATATAACAAACTGAAAAACAAATAATATAGTACTAAATCTTTAGTACTTGTTCGATTTTGTACTAACGCAGTAACTGGATTTAAAAACCCTGACTTGAAATTATTAAATATTCTAGATGTCAACAATAACGTTCATTCTTTTTTTCGACTTGCAGGGAACAAAACTAGAGGCTTTGGTTGTAGTGGTGTTCAATGTTCAAAATTGTCGTCACCTCATTGCACTGGTGTTGTTCCGCCAGGTGGCTGCTGTCCCGTGTGTGGTAAGTGTTAGTCTAATGTTTTTGTCAGGATTGAGCATCAAAGTTATAAGCAGGGAGTTTGTTGAATTTCACGCAAAACTACTCGAGGGCTATCTGCACAAGCCGTCCTTAATTTAGAAGTGATAGACTAGAGGGAAGGCAGTTAGTCAACACCACCCATCGCCGTCTCTTTGGCTACTCTTGTATCAATGAAAAGTGGGATTGCCCATCACATTATAACGTCTCCACGGCTGAAAGTCATGCCAGGCCTAAATCCGTGACAGGGATTTGGCAGGGAGTGTCTTGAGATACGTATTTGTCGCCTCGGTCTTAATCCATCTTTCATAATATGTATTATTTGACGACAATACTCTGGTTATTATAGTAACTATGAAAAGGGAACGTGGTTATATTGATTTGTTGTATTTCGGAGTATCTCATTCCATCACTTTTACGTCATTATTGTTAATATAAACCTTTTAAAAGTTACAGTTGAAAAAAAAACCCGAAAGCAGGCAAATCATTAGAACCTATTAGGCCTTCAATTTGTTTGTTTGTTTTGAATTTATGCACAAAGCTACACAATGGACTATCTGTGCTCTGCCAACCACGGGTATCGAAACCCGGTTTCTAGCGTTGTAAGTCCGCAGACATGCCGCTGTGCCACTGGGGGGCGTCTTCAATTTGTGAAAGAACTCAGTAAATTGCAGATTTTTTTTCTACCACATTCATTTTATTTGTTCATTTCGGATTCAAAATAAGAGAAGTGAAAAATAACACTTCACATATGTATTTTATCACCAAAAAGTCACTGCCCAAAAGGCCTTTCGTTAGATACCAGAACTTGTTCATTGGACGATGAGGTACAAAACATTCTTTGAAACGCCATTCATATGTGCACTAAATGTAATAAAATCTACGGTTGAAACTGGCGAAGCATTAGAAACCAATAGGCCTCAAAGTTGTGATAAAACCCATGCTTACTATCACAAAAAATAAAAAATTTAACGTTTCTGGTGTTACATAAAAACAATACTTTTTGTCTGACCTAAAAATTCAGGGAAAAGGCAATTAAATCTAACAAAATATAACAGTGTTTATAATCTGTACAACTGCTTGCGATCAGTAATTTAATTTTTAATGTAGATATTTAATGTGTTTAATTGTTTTAGAATTGTCTTGAATGCGGTTAAGTCGCATTGGAGTTAAACCTGATTTAAGTGTTAAATTTTATGAGACTATGATGTAACGATACATCATGTACATTTTGAACATAAAGTTCCTGTTTTGGCACCGTAAGACAAAAAAAAATTAATTAATAATAGATTACTGATAGTAGTTCGTTGACTAATACTTTATTATTTTTTCTCCAGGTGGCGTTGTAGCACTCTTTTTCAGTGGATATCAGGCAGACACAATCTTAAGTGCGGTGCAAGAAATTAGTCCCGTTGTTGTGCAATCAATTGCTGAAAGACTCCGCAGTTACGTGAAAGTTACTGAATGCGATCTCTTTGCCTTTCTCAGCTTGGAATCTGAAGTGGTTGTCATAGTAACCCCAGTCACCACGTCTCCCACTACGTTACAAGTTGAAGCTTGCGTAAGAGAAGCGGAAAAAGTGAAGACTTTGGTTGAGATGAGCAGTCCTGCCGTTTTAACGGACTTATCTTTGTCTCTCTTTCTTGCTGCTTCTCTCGAGGGCCCCCTACCGGAGAAAGCTACAGCTGGCTCTCTGGCATTCAGCCACGTTAACGTTCCCGAGCTCACAGTAGTCACTCTTTTCTGTGGGCTGATTTTACAACAACATTTATTGCCCATGTTTATAGTGACCTGACAGAGTTAAGAGTGACTTTCTGACTCCAAAAATAAAAAAATAAAAACTTCAACTATTAACATTTATATATATATACGAAAATTTTGCAAGAGAAAGAAGGAGACTATTTCTAACACTATACATCTATGTATATAATATGTAACTTATATTTATAGTTGGTGAGACCATAAATTATGTGTTGGAAGATGTAGACGTTGTTAGTTCAAATAGTGTTATAGTTATTTCTACTCTTAAGTACTTCTTCCACAAGTCCCGCGAAAAGTGAACGTTGGAGTCTTGCTTTCCTATCTTTGATTACCCTGGAAACAGCTAGTTTCATCTTCCTTTTCCTTTTGGTACATTTTCCACGTTTTTATCTTTTCTGTTGAAGAAGCTTTTACACGAGTCTTAAAAATTCTAACACGAAAATTTTAAATTGGCCAATTGTATGAATTTGCTTGTTTGTGAAACACAAAATTGCACAATGAACTATCTTTGCAGAGATCGAACCCCCGAATGTTTAGCATTATAAGCCCTCACGTTTACCGCAGAGTCACGTATGAAGTACATATTTTAAAATGTGCTCGGTATCGCCACGAAGGAGTAGATATACAAGCATAACTTTTACTTCCCGAACGCTTATTTGTTTCTTTGTCGTTAAGCGCAAAGCTACACAATGGAGTATCTGTGCTGTGCACACAACGAGAATCGAAATTCGGTTATTAGCGGTGTAAGCCCTCAGAATTACCACCGAGCCACTGGGGAGGTTCACTTTCTTTATTACTTCTATCTTAAGAGTGCTTAAAAAGGTTAGTTCCTTCCATACGTATTATCATATCAAGTGACATGGCGATGTCACGTTATTTAAAAAACAATATAACAGGTATGGAGTTTTTATTCAAATCCCAGGATGACAGTGGCTAACTTTTTGGGGCTATAGGCAGATTCAAACATTTTACGTGCGAAAATATCTCCCTAATCGATAACCCTAACATTACGAAATTTTCTGTGTATATAATTGAAACAGTACATTTCTTGAGACAGAAGTAACTAATGTATATCAACGCTGTCTAAATATGCTCTTAAGTTCCGTTTGCTTGTTTTATTGAATTTCGCGCAAAATTACACGAGGATTATGTGTGCTAGCCGTCTCTAAATTAGAAAGGATAGGTTAGAGGGAAGGCAGCTAGTCAACACAACCGACCGCCAATTCTTGGGCTGCTATTTTACCAACAAGAAGTGTGATTGATCGTCACATAATAACGCTCCCACGGCCAAAGGGACGAACATGTTCGGTCCCGAGTTATCTGTTTTGTTGTATTTGTGAATTGTAAGTTTCTACGGTATAAAAACCAGTGTTCTTCATTAGTGAGCCTTTTTTGAGCGATACAGTGCTATCGTCAGTAAAGAAAAAAAACTGTTTAAAAAACCACCAATCAAAAGCCCTCTAGGATCGTGTTTGACAAGTAATTATTTTCTGCCCTTGCGTATAACCCCAATTATTACCTCCGCCACCCCCGAAGGTGGACGAAGGTTATGTTTTCACTCCTGTGTATGTGTGTATGTTTGCCAGCAAGATTTCTCGAAAACGGCCGAATGGATTTGGACTAAAGCTGGTATACACTTGGACTACGACCAAATTTAGAAGTGACTAGCTTTTCGAGGGTCAAGGTCACGAAAATCCGAAACAAAATCCCTATCTGTTAACATGGGGGACCGATTTTTCACAATATTTTTGCTCTATAAGTCAGTCAAAATGATTGGATTTTGATTAAACGTGGTGGACTTATATAAAATATTATTCCTTGTTGTCCTGCCAAAATTGGTCCGTGTCCGTTGATAACGACAGAAATACGGACACATTTTCGTATTTTTTTGAGAGCCGAATATGATCAACGCTGCGTGACGGAAGTATGCGCTCTACTGAGTGCCCTCTAGTGTCATATTTATTTGATTCTATAGTGTTTTCGTTACTGAATAGTTCCCAGTTGAATACTCAGCATTTGGTTTCTTTAGTACTGAATTTTTGAATATTTCTTAATTAAATAAATGCTTATTTCTAAAAAAAAAATGTTATCTCTAAAGCCTCTTTCATGGTTTAAATTTTTTAGAAGATACGAGAGCCACCTACCGTTAACACTGAATATTTAATAATTTACTGAAATACATTTATTTTTTAATTATACCAAACTTTCACAAAATATGTTTGATTGTGACTGTGAGTGGTTTATATAAAGTATAACGATTGAAGTTTTGTAAAAAAAAAAGAGTATAATTTACTTGTTGTTTTTACTTCATGAAGCCTAACCTAATTAATGAAAATATTTAACATACTTTGCATTAGCATTGTTAGTTTTGCAGCCAAGATGAAATGTTAAGGAAAGTCACAACTATTGTAAATGTGTCTTTAACTCTTTTCATATCTACGCTTGTAGATAAACAGTGTCTGGTTTAGATACATGACAAGAAGTAAAAAGGGAAATATGTTTTAATATTTCATTAACTATTCTTGAAACTGGTAAACTTTTGGAAATTTGAAAGGTGACAATTTCTTCTACAAAATTGCAAACTGTAATGGCAGTGCCCATGAAATTTAAGCAGTGTCATAGAGGGGGAGACATCTGTGCCCATGAAAATTAAGCAGTGTCATAGAGGGGAGATATCTGTGCCCATGAAAGTTAAGCAGTGTCATAGAGGGGGAGATATCTGTGCCCATGAAAGTTAAGTAGTGTCATAGAGGGGGGAGATATCTGTGCCCATGAAAGTTAAGCAGTGTCCTAGAGGGGGAGACATATATGTGCCAATGACAGTGAAGCAGTGTCATAAAGGGGGGACACATGTGCCAATGACAGTGAAGCAGTGTCTAAAGGGGGACACATGTGCCCATGACAGTGAAGGGGAGACATATATGTGCCCAGGATACTGTAGAAGTGTCACAGAAGGAGGCATACATGTGCCCAAGACAGTGAAAGGGTTAACCCATTGATAAAGTATTTAAATGTCAGTTAAAACTCGGTCACGTTAGGTTTTTTACAACCTTATAAAAATGCTGCTGTAAAGAAACTTTTTATGGAAACTTATATAAATTTGTTATAGAAAGATTTTATTTCAACCTTGTGAGCTTAGCCATGAAATTGTATTTTTATATATCTAAAACCAAAGATAGCTTTTTAAAGATTTTTAAGCTCACCAGTTTATTGGAATAATCAAAAAGTGAGGAGTTAGTTCTGTCCCTTTTTTTATAAATAGTAACATATGTAAACGGAAATTGTTTTTGTCCACTTACTGACTCAATATTTTTTCAGATAAACATTCTTTATTCACACAAAAACTGAATATACATTCACAAAAACGTTTCTGCCTTTTTTATGTCTCTTTGCGTGTATTAATTACATGAGTTTATAGATTTGTTACGCAAGTACATAACGGAGATTAAATGTTTGATTGGTTCGATTGTCATCGATGTATGTTGTTGTAACACTAGTTATAATTTTTTATATGAATTTGACTATCGTTATTATTGTTATTGTTTTAAAAAACAACAACAACAACCAAAAAGTTGCCGTCTAAATTTACTAATATCAAGTGGCATTGAAAACGACCAAAATGCTACTGATATTATACGGGTTATTGAAGTTGATGGTTATAAATAGTCACCAATTTTTCGGCCAATAAAGCGTTTTTATATGGTTCATAATAATTGGGTTATCTTGATTTATATTTACCATTTATTTTAAATTATTAACTATCACTACGTAAATTATAGTTCTTCAACCAGTAGTAGAAGTATAACAGACTGGCTTGAGGTTGTCAACTACATACAGCTACAAAATAGCAAATAAAATATAATCATAAAACTGCATACATTCTTATTTTAATCTCTCTCTCGTTCACAGATGGCGAAATCATTTTCGGCTGAAGTTGTCAGATATAGAACGTTTTAAGGTCGATAGAGGAAGCCTGTAGTTATACCACGACTTTTGCCAGTCGGATTCCTGTCCGTCATCGTGACTAAGTTCTAATAGCTGTAAGACGAAAAACACTGGTCACTTCATTTCTTTCTTATAACATTCTCAAACAATAAGTAAATTATGGTTAGGTGTAACTCAAGAAAAATAACGAAAAGGTACACATTTATTGCTTTTTTTTTGTGGTGTTTTATATATAAAGTAAAACTGTTTTTTGTTTTGGTGTTTTTTTTTTTTTTACAAAATATCAAAAATTAGCAGTTTATGACCGAATTAGAAGAACATCCACCTTAAAGTAGCCAAATGTGTTTTCAAAACTTCTCGCTACACAATAAGCACCGTGACGCCATCTAGTGTTTACTACTAACCATTTGTTAAAAAAATAAAAAAATCCACAATAACGATTTGTTTTAAAAACTTTGTGACTCCACCTAGTGTTTACTATTAACCATATATATTTAGAAAATAAAATAATAAAAAAATCCACAATAACGATTTGTTTTAAAAACTTTTCGCTACACAGTAAACATCGTGACGCCACCTGGTGTTTCCTACTAACTATTATTGAATTTATAGAAAACTAAAAAGCACTGGCTAATATTTTTTATGTTATATCATTTTTAAATTTTCGTAGTGAATATATAGCATGAGACCCGTTCGTCGAACAACATTTGGTGACAGTTAAAGGTGCTTTTTCATTTGGAGTGAACTGACGGAATTTTTTTACTTGATCAGAACTGACGGAACTCTTCACTTGGTCAGAGCTGACGGAATTTTTCACTTGGAAAAACAAAACGAAAACATTCAGACTATTTCGAAATATGTTCTTGATTACCATGATATCGTCCAGATATTAAACATTAACGTGACATTCACGACATGCTACGAGAACCGTGCTAGTCTTCCGAATATCAGTTTGTACTAATCAGCGCGGATGTCAAAAATAGAGACTTTATTTCGTGCCCTAACTACAGTCGCGAAACGAAGATACTCACGGGTTATCTGCGCTAGCCATATCTAATTCTGAAATGACAGAAGGAAGGCAGCTAGTCAACATCGTCCATTGCTAAAATTTGGGCTACCAACGAATAGTATGACTGACCGTAACATTATAACGCCTTCATGACTGAAAGGGCAACTGTGTTTGACGACGAGTTTTGATCACGCGGTTTATTAGTCGAGCGCTCTAATCACCAGTTGTTGTTGTTTTGAAGTTAAGCACAAAGCTACACAATGGGCTATCTGTGCTCTGCCCACCACGGGTATCAAAACCTGGTTTCTAGCGTTGTAAGTCCGCAGACATACCGCTGTGCCACTGGGGGGGGGGGGGGGCTAATCACCAGGCTCTGCGTTATAATGTAGCTTTTTATTGACATAGCTTCCATTATATTCCAGTTCAGTATATATATTTCAAACTATATTTTTTTGCTAACATCGATAAGGTAAAAATCGAGAAAATAAATCCAATGAAGGGCATCTTATAGTCCAGACAGATTTCTTCTTCTTCTAAGAGAAAGGGGGGGGATTAAAACGTCTTGAATCAATATTCTTTATCCCCCATCTTAACGATTAATATTTTCGTAAACATTTGCTATAATTGATCTTAATATTATTTTTGCTGCAGAATGTAAAGTAGGTCAAACGTTGCCAAGTAAAAAAAAAAAGTAACGCATAAATAAGACCTTAGGGTGTGTAGGTTATCATCATAGTGAATACAAAGCACGTTAACACCAACAGTATGTTTGATACTTTTCACTATGACATAGGTCCAGCTTATCTTTCTTTGGTTAACTTGTGTTCTGGGTTTTACGGATGAGGAGTGGAATTTTCCGAAGCTAGTGTAACCCCATAATACACGTTGATCAAAGTGTAGATTGAACTGAACCTCCCTTGAACGTAGACTTCGAAATTATAGAATTTTCTGAATACTAAGTTTATTTATTAGGGTTAAGACGATGGACATGTGCACTATATTTCGTTACTTGCTTATTGCAAATAAAAGCAAACAAAAAACAAACAAACATGTTTTTGTTTTCAAGTTATTGAAATCCGTGTATTTAATTAACGTTTTTCTCACTCGCATAATGACCTGGGTTGAATAAACCCAGGGCTAGAATGGGCAGTTTCCTATGAGCCCAAGATGTCAAAGGGGCTCAAATTATATATGATTTTTTCAATCATCTTTAAGTTGGAAAATATATATATATATTTTAGAACAGCTTGTTTTGATGGCTAAAATTCTAATGCCAAATAAATAAATTAATGAGGGTTTGTGGAAATATTTCTACTTTCCAGCGGCCCGGCATGGCCAGGTGGTTAGGGCCCCTGCATGGCCAGGTGGTTAGGGAGCTCGACTCGCAATCTGAGGGTCACGGGTTCGAATTTCCGTCCCACCAAACATGCTCGCCCTTTCAGCCGTGGGGGCGTTATAATGTGACGGTCAATCCCACTATTCGTTGGTAAAAGAGTAGTCCAAGAGTTGGCGGTGGGTGGTGATGACCAGCTGTTGAACTACACCGTAATTCGGATCTGTTGACGGTAACTTAATGTTATACAGTAACAAAAAATAATAATAAGAAGTTAATATGTATCTCTTTTGTCTCACGATAAATATGTTTTTCGAAAGTCAAGTAAAATGAAATCCATATTTTGATTTGCTAGTTTCAACTGAAGGCAAATTAGATCTTTATATATATATTATTTCTAAGCTTTACAGTGAGGTACCTGGGCGATGCCAAACACAGAGATAGAACCTCGAATTTTAGCGTTA